AACAACAACAACAACAACAACAACAACAACAACAACAACAACAACAACAACAACAACAACAACAACAACAACAACAAAAAGAAAAGGACAATGTAAATGTGAAAGTTGCGGATGATGGAGGAAAAGTGTATACTTCCGGAGAGATTTTACAATTTTATTTCGACGCGTGTCAGAGTAGAGAAGAATGTCCTATGGACCGGATGGTGGATATTCTTACGGTGAGTTGCAGGGATACTACGTTTCACAGAGAACAACAGGAATCTGAGACGAAGATAAAGGATCATGATTATATAATGTGTACTTTATATAGAATGCGGATGGATAAACCTTCTAACAATATATATTTAAGGTGCTTCACAATGATCAAACGAAAAAAATTAGTGGTGAAACTAATAATAAGTTCGTACCCGCCGGCAATCGCCGATGATTTATTATAAGAAAATGATTATATTAATATGCTATTGAAATCTTTTCTCTTGTTCATCATAACTTTATAGAGAACAGGACCAACGAGTTCCGTAAAAGTGGTGGATTTATCGGGTAACTTTCTCTGTAATACTATGAATCATAAAGATTAATCGATTCAGCTAGTCCTAATTTGTTTTACTTTACATCTCCGTATTTTCAGGTGAAATGATCGACCGTAAGGTTGCTGAGCCAATTGCTGATGTGCTTGCGCTGGAATGTGGACTGAGGCAATTAAGTTTGCAACGATGTGCTGTTGAGGACCATGTATGTTTCAATGTTTTCCGTTTTGTTTGTCATTTGTACAAATATTAACTTTTATTGTATTTTATCCGTTAGACTTTGAAAATATTATGTCATAGCCTATTAATAAATGATACGTTAACACATTTAAGTCTTGCTGACAACAAACAAATAAAATCTGATGGATTTAGTTATATTGCCATTTATATCAAGAAGGTAAATAGGTAGTGGGTTACTGCAATTCATGTCGTGCAACTTTTGTAGGGGCGGACATGCAATTAATTCTTTACCCAATTACATTACAGTCTACCCAATTGACATATCTCGATTTGTCTGGAACGATCATCGACAAGAAATCGGCTTTATACTTGGCGCAGGCGCTATCTCCAGGAAATAGTAACAATGAGGTGGTGCTGGACACGTTAAAACTTGACGGATGTGGACTGAAAAATAATGTATTGGAAATTCTAGGTATGGCTAAACTAGATCGTACATCTTCGATGTCGCTCTAGCATTCTGTTTCGCAATGAATCTTTGGTTAGCTTCAGCAAAACTGTTCATTTTTCTGAACGCTATTACTAACGTTGTAATTTGTATTGCGATTTATTACGGTTAGGTCCTGGTATTCGTCGTTCAAGTTTACGCTGTCTATCTATTCGTTTTAATCGAATAAATCAATTTGGAGCCGTATGGGTAGGGGTAATGCTTCGTGACTATGATGATATGATATGGAATAATGAGAGTGCGAGTTCTCTCGGTAGTTTATCATCATTTGATGCGAATACAAAGAATAAAGGAAAAATGCGTCGACATTTGGAAATACTGGACGCTTCGGAAAATGACTTCAGGGTTAGTTGATGGTTGCCGTTGATAAAGTGAAGGGATTGGAGGAAATTGGGGAGTATGCCGAATGAACGAACGACTTTATTGAATTCATTTCTTTAAATAGATTGGAGTCCAGTATATCGCTCAAGCATTGCGACGGAACCGCAGCCTTAAGGAATTGCGTTTAGTTGATTGTAAATTAGATCCAAAGGGATTGACCTTTATTGCCGAAGGACTGGTATGTGTTATTGAAAGAATTTATGTCGCCGACAATATTTATCTAACATTATTGTCCATTGCTAATTTCTAAACAGAAACATAATGGGACGTTAGAAATACTAGACTTGAGTCACAATCCTATCGGGAATTCTCCAATAGATGGGGTAAGTGCAATACTTGATATCTAAAACTTGCTAAATGACACTACGTTAATTTAACGAATATAAAACGAATTATTAGGTTAATGCACTCTGCCATGCTTTATCTGTAAACAAAACACTACGTGACTTGTTCCTTGCTGATTGTAACATGTCCTCGGAAGGTGCCATAGCGCTCGCCGAATTGTTACCCGAGACCACTAAACTTACACATCTCGATTTGACGGACAATCCGAATATTGGCACTGCTGGGATCATGGCATTAGCTGCATCAATCAAAATGAATCATAGCGTTTGCTGCTTAGATATCAAAATTCCGGTTTGTCAGATGAATTTGTTCAACCTTTGCTTGGTTTAATTTTATACTTTCCTGAATCCTTACTCTATAATAATTCTTGTTTCCCATAGCCAAATGATAAGGAACTGGCCTACCTAGCACGTGACATAATCCGCGTATGTGTGAGAAATACAGAATCAGCCTCAAAAGAAATCCTAAATGGTGCGGATCCATTATCGGATTCAATATGTTATTCAGAGATAAATGACGAACTTGAAACCGACTCGGATGGTGAATATGTTGACACGGACGATTCAAGTGTGGACATCGATACAAACGGAATTGAGAGAGATATGAAAATAGCTGAGGAGATTCTAAATGTATTTGATGCCATGATGGCAAATAATAAAGGTAAAATGGCCGAGGAGAGTAATGACACATTGGAGCATCTGAACGCACAGACCAAGGATTTGCAGCACAAAATTGGGTCGTATATAAGTACTACTATTGACGATGAGAAATTACTAGGTTCGTTTCATAACCGTGTTCTTGCGTGATAATCTATTTAATGCCGATATGTCAAACATATTATTAATGTCTTCTCAACCATTACTTAGAACGTCTTCTAACACTAAACGATCGCCTAACCGCGTCATTGCAAAATTACGTTAACTTGTATAATCAATCTAATCTTCCATCGACGACTTTTGTAAACGCATCAACGAAATCATTACCTTCACCCCCATCATCTTCACCCATATCCCCTAAACCTTTCATCTTCAGTCCCATCCATCCTGTCCCGTCTTCGTCATATCTTTCCAGAATTCCAACTACAACGGTTACGTCTCCGACTTCGCCAACAACCCCCGCCTTGCCTATATCTTCTCCAAGTGAAATAACATCATCGCCGACGTTTTCTATTGCTGATTCGGACGATGAAGATGACTACGATGATGTTCGTGATGATGATGTTCGTGATGACGATGTTCGTGATGACGATGTTCGTGATGTTGTTCGTGATGTTGTTTGCGATGATGCTCGCGACGATGTTCGTGATGGCGATATTCATGATGATGTTCGTGATGATAATGATGATGATGTGTCATCGCGTACCAATAGCTTCTCACTAGTTGTTCGTACTTCAAATGGTTCTCACAATGAAGACGAGGGACAGCCGAAAAGTCCTATAGATGAGCTAGGCAAACTGTTAGAGATTGAGGAAGGAGAGGTGTTGAGAAAGGCGAAAGACGTTATGGTGCCAGAGGCTGAAGAGCGGGGGAAGTCATCAGCAGATCTGTTGAGTGGGGAGGAATTAAAGTTACAAGTAAGTCAGGATGAGTCGGTCAAAAGACTTGAGTATTCTAAGCGGGTGACAAGTATTAACAGTCTGCATTCCATTTTAGATACTCGAAGAATAACATTTTCATGAAGCTTGGGCTTGGTATTGTTGTCTGTAGTTTTTTTTTTCTTTATCTTAATGTCCCTTAATATTCAGGATTTCATTCGATTGTCGAGTCATCTGACATTATGAAGATTTAATAGTTCGGGGATGTAATGCTGTCAGTTTCTCTTAGATTTTGTTGTTTGCTATTCCTTTCTTATTTTCATTATTTGCCTGTACAGCGATTTTAGATAATCCGCATTTTTGATAGACGTTAGTTAATATTTGAATATACGACGAATTTGAATTTTTTATAGAACTTAACATCTGCCGCTAATCTTTCTGTTTAATAATATAAACACATATGTATTTATCCGCGAAGTCTTTAGTAATAACGTGTTAACAAAGTTTCATATCCATCATTATCGTATTTGAATTTCATCGCAACAAATATGGTGGTACACGATTAGCGTTGGGGAAGAACGGAGTGATACGCGCGAAAGTGATATGCGAAAGTGATACGCGAAAGTGATCACCTTTGCATGAAGATCTATAGACGAGTTCGGCACAATTATTCAAATGTGTCACATCCTCACAAACTCGCCCGACGCTTATATTTATTATATTGGCGATGAACGTTAACAAGAGGTAAATTCTCTCTGGCTCGAATTTGCGATTTAACCAGTTGCGGCCGATATTGTTTTCAATTTCAATTGTAAAATTTCCGATTAACTGTATGTGTTGAAAAGTTTTGTTACTCTCCATTAAACTCTATACAACGCTCTAGCCGATTTCGTTCTTAGTCCTCTTTTGAGGGCAAGGTCTGGCGTCCGTATGAATCATGACGTGACAACGGTTATTCTTGCCCTTTTTCTGGAGGCTCGGCTCATCTTGCAAAATGTAGGTATTCTTTCATGAAAAATACCTAATTAATTAAGTTTTTTTTTTTTCATAACAAAATTCTCCGACCTTGACGACCTTTTCTGCCATCACTGTTCGCGAGGACGTCTAAAAAGAGTCTTGTTTTCTTTGGTTCGCTGGTCATTGGAAGATAATTTTCAATAGCGGAAATAATGTATGGAAAAATCAAAAATGGTAAAGCATCGCTCCCAGAATGAAACTATTGCTCGCAAAATAGTTTTCCGTCCGGCGGCGGTTCCCCGCTGAATTATGTTCACCGAGGACCTTTTTTAATAAAACAAGTAATTTTTTCTCGGAAAAGTTTAAATTGACCCGCATTGGTCTAATTTGCCGACAAATCTACGACAAACATTCACCAGCTCATGTACACCTGGAACTATTCCTTACTATCCATACAATTGCCTAAATAACTTTATACGTAAGTATAAATATTTACAAGTTTTATATTAATATCGATATGGAAACTTGTGCAAAACATAAAGGTGTCACTTACGTAGACTCGTATGAATACCAACTGAATAGCATGCCAAGAAAAGATTTTATCGCACTTAACAAATATACACTAGCCGGCCGAAATTGGTATGCGGCTTTACGCCAAAAGGCTAAGGCAAAATTGCATTTATGGAATGATTTCTGAAATCGGAAGAATGCAGGGAATCTTGACGAATAAAAAAGGGCGGAAGAACGCAAAATGCCAAGTAAACATCGCTTTGGCGGTTACGTAACGAGCTGCAGGGATGTAACTACTATAGTATTAGACTGACTGATGCCAGAAATCAGCTTTTTTTGTCATTACGGATTGCCCTGAAAAATAAGAATTGGATTCATAGTCACATATGTGTGTAACATTCTATTATTAATCACGTTGTTATTATTAGATTGTGAAATAGGCATGACAAAAGTGCGTCTACTAGGTTTGTGAACTCATCCCAAGTTTGACACACCATATTAATTAATAATTTCAATAATATTAACGCCAGGTATTTTGTATATCATACTTAAGTTAAGTTACGGCTACCGTAAGCTCCTTTTATTTAAAATTGTCACATTTGTAATCGACATGACTTTGAGCAAAGTTTAAGCAATTTTCTGAACCACTTCAATATTACCCAAAGTGTAAAACACTCGATTGAAAAGAGACTAATTAGGAAGTAGTACATGTAGTTACACGCCCCTTTGCTATAAAAAGATTGATTTGCATTCATTTTGATCACGCAACGATTATGCGCCGTGTTGCTTTTTCCAAATGCTAATAGAAAATGTTTTCACAATAAATATTAATATGGCAATACTTTTTTATTCAACAGTAAGACCTTCGATTTATTATTACGACTGATGTGACACCAAACAACGCTTTAGAATTCTAAATTTGGTGAATCTCATACTAATTGTCACACCACTGTTACGCATTGTTCAAGTGTGACGTAGACGGCGTTTTTGGGGTTCCAGAAATAGTAATATCGACGTATAATATTGGACAGGCGGATCTTGGCAATCCCAATAAAAATTCTAAAAGAGAATTTTTCATTTTGGCCATCGATCACTCATATGTATATACGACATTCAATGAGTACCAGGTACGAAAATGGTGCAGAGTGTAGATTGCGTCTCTTGTTACAATCCATTGCTATACAGTGTTTTTCACCAATCACCAGATATTCCGTGAAAATGCTGTTACTCTGTTTTCGCAGCACATCTGTGTAACCCCCCTGTGATCTACACAATTGAGTATGAGAATATAAATAGAGTCTGATAATAACAAATCAGTATTAATAGAAATAGTTTTCTCCGAGTAAAAGATTATACGTTACCCCCTATTAATAAGGTGATCAAAGGCATCTTACAGTTCTGCGTAAATCCCCGTTCTTTCGTCTTTTTATAAGAGACGTTACAGAAATAATGAAATTACCGTCATTGCTTCTATTATTTCTCGTTACGACTCTTCTGTTTCTCACATATCCATATCACACAGCGGCCCTGACGTGCTATGATAATGTCAACCCGCTTCGTAGAAATCAACATGTCCCTGTTGAATGTGATAATAACAAACTTGGAAAACGAACATCTGTTTCATGGATAAAAGGACTGCGTTCTTGGATGCCGTTCGCTTCTAAAACATTAAAACGGGATGTTGGAACAAATGCTTTCAAAATTACACTGACATGTTCAGCAGGCACGACGCTGTGTGCAAAAGTTAAAAATGCATTCGATTTGGCTGGGTTAATGTTATCACAAACATTACAGTTGAATACAGCTATTACCGTCAATGCAACGTTCTTAAATTTTTGTAAACAAATGAATCAATGCACTGCCGGAGGAGGGTATCTGACTCTCGGTGAGTGGAAAGGATGATATATACGTTGACGTATCAATTAACGATACTGATCTATTTGGTTATACGGCTATTTGCATTAAATTGCTTCAATATATGAATGCAATAACTTTCCCTATTTGTCTCTGCTCTAACCTATCGACGTTTTGCTTTATTCATTTATTCGTTTTAGGTGGCGCCGCACCAGCGCGTACAATCCCGATGAAAGATGATGATCAAGCAGTTCGTTTATACCCCCAGGCTTTAGTAAAACAACAGACAAGTGATCCGTCTATCAATTTTGGCGCTTACGACATAGTTGCTCTCTTCAATTCCGAAGCCAACTTTTGGTTTCAAGGCGATGGCGCTATCCAACACACTCAATCCGATTTCTTGTTTGTCATTCTGCACGAACTCGTGCATGGTCTCGGATTTACATCATCCTGGGATGATTACATCAACATTACACCTGAAGCACTGACTCCGGACGTCTCTATAACATCTAAAGGAGGACAGCAAACGATAGGTTTTACTGAATACGCTTTCGATAAATATATGGTTCTTTCTCAGACTGGTCAGAGGATGAGTGAGATTACAGCACAATTGAATCAGTTCTCCGCCAGCTCGGGCGCGACCACGGTGCAACAGTTTGGTCGGGCTTTTAAGAATTCACCACAATATTCACTTGCTGTCCAGATGTTCAGAAATGCTACAACAAGAAATGCGATGGTATTCTTGCCTGCTGGACAATCTGATATTTCACAAGCAGTTATCTTGGAAACTAGTTTAGCTCCATATCAACAAGGATCTAGTGTGAGCCACGTTGATTACAATACATATACTGATACGCCAGACTTTTTGATGAGGTATCTGCAAGATCGAGGTGTTTCCTTGGGAGATGCAATTGTTCAGGGAGGTAATTACACGGGCGGTAGTATTGGTCCAAAATTAAAACTAGTACTGGAAAGTCTTGGGTATGTAAAAAGCCTGTTTTCATACGTAATGTTAGTTTTGCAATGTACTAATAATTGTTGTATACGATGGTTACATGTAGATATGCAACACAAGATAATCCGAATCCATATCGTCCTGCACCAAGCAGTAGCGATTCACCTGTCATTTTGGTTCAATCAAAGACACTTGTATTCCTTATTGTGTTTATGACAATATTTCTTTCACGTAATACGTGGAACTTGTAATATTCTATAATCTCAAATCCCGTGTATGTATTAAATCGGAACATTATCTAGATGCAATAGATTATTGATGTAACTTATTTAACCAATCAGACTAAGATCAACCTTTCTCTCTGTTCATATGTAAAATACTTAAACAGATAATTTTAAATCATAATTCGAGTGTAGAATTTGTATTAGACAATAATATTTTAACGATGAATACATCGTTCCGCGTTGGATTCAAAAAAGATTTATACAGCAACAAAAGTGAAATATTGACGTGTAATTCCGTGTACTAAATTTAGCGTATCATGGTAAAATGCATTCATCATTAATACACTAGTTTCAAGCCGGTACATTTCGGTTAGAGCCTAATATAGCAATTATTACTTCCTTATGTCATGTGCCTCAATGCGACGTATTTCTCCATCTTGCGTCTAACGCTAACCTAATACGAGCCCGCATCTCGATTTATTATCGCGTAACAGAAATCGGTTTATTTTTCATGAACATTACCAAAGAGAACAAGCCTTTAAAAGTGTATATGCTAGATTAGGAAACCCCGCCACGTTATACAGGACATTATCGCGTAAAACGCAGTCGCTATTTAAATCAATTAATACCAGAGGTAGTTTCGTTCACTGACATCATTTTCGGCTTAGATACCTGTACTATTATTGATTTAACGTTACAAACTATATACACATTAATATCTCTAGCTTAAGGGTTATCGAAGCTAATGTCACCGATCAATTAAAGCCAGAAATAAGGCCAGCAACTGTATTAGCGAAGCAGAAATGGAGGCTAGCAGCAGCTTCGAGTGAAACAATTAAACCCCAAGGCCAATTATTGAGCGCGGTGGTTGGCTCGACAATAAATTTATCTGCCAGTTATAATAATAATGGAATCCGTCAAGAAAGCCTTGCACATTGGAAACAGGCTCCACACCAAATATATTCGTCGGTCGCACCAAGCCATACAACGAAGAGTTTAGTGAAGCGTCTCCCTTAATATCCAAAAGCAAATTGGATTCTACCAAAAGCTGCTGAACAGGTCAATTATATTATTAATATGAAAGTGATAATTCTCTTTGTAACTAAATTTTGCATTGTTGAAGTCTACCCTCAAACTTATCGATAATTCGAAGAATTTGTGACAGGTACAGACTTGGGGAGGATCTTGTTAAATTACTAATGCTCAGACGTTGTTGTTATCGATATGCTGTTCTACGATTAAGCTTAGACTGAATGACTCTTACTTGTATGTACCAATACAAAGCTACTGGTTGGCATTCGGGATTTAAAAAATTATCCCGGTTGTTTGAATTTAATTACGTCAGAAAAGAGTGATATTTTTTGAAACATTCTGGCACGAAGGAACATCACATCGTCGAGTGTCGTTAAAATTATTGGTGGCCGCCTCTTTATTTATTGTATCGTCTCTAAGTGTCAAGACTTTTCTTTCATATTAAATACACATTTTCTGGAAAAGCCCAAAATGTAAAAATAAGCAAAAGTTATGAGCCAATAAATATTCGTTCTGAAGCTATTAAATGACCACTCATCTTCTAATCATAAATTGATTAAAAATTGACTAAATAATGAGACTCTTATAATTCCGAAATAAACAACTAAATTAGAGAGAAAAAAACTTTTTATGGTAGACAGCAACTATCTTGGCAACAATCAAGATAATAACAAGCTAACAGGCAGAATTGTTCAGCGACTCTCGTTGAAATTCACATTGATTTGTTGCAACCGCCCAATCTATCTTGGTACTCAACCCATTTTTGAATGAATGAGTCCTAAACCCCGGAATGCATTGTAGCGAAACGTAAGCATTGTTAATGTAATTGTGAAAAAACATACAATTATTGCGAGGTCGACCGAATACACAGTGACTCTCTTTATAGTGTATCAAAAAAATCTATTAGCAAAAAATTCTCAAAAATCCACTATATCGAGGGTTTTTGAAAATTAATTAGTAAATACACTATATTGGATAGAATTTATTATAGACGGTTTTGAACCTCTATCCACTATATCGCGATTTTAATTAGTCTTCACTATAAAGGAGGTCTACTATAAAGAGCGGCACTGTGTATTTAATTGATTGTGTCAAAATTTGCCGGGTCGCAAATTAAAAGTACATATATGCTAATACCAAGTTATAATTTAACTTTATGAATAAAAACATCTCATATGAATAAGAGTTTATCATAAATAACAATATGACACAACCAAATGCCATCTTACAAGTGAATCGAGGACACGTTACGCGCCAAATTTTCGACCAATGGAATTGACCCGATTGATGCAGATCAGAATAGAAATAAGAAGTGTCTATTAGTGACTAGTTAATTTATATAATAAATCTCTGGTCGTTGATGCCTTTCACCCTCCTCGTGTTTAGCAGAAATTTGAGATTTAGCTGTATCAACAACTCTTGGGCAAGAGGAGTTAGAACCAGAGTTAGGACTGCGAATTTAGGTGAGTCAAATGGAGAGAAACTGCATATTTATAATATGTGCTTGATAATTGACCCGGAATTTTAAGGGGAATTATTTGCTTGGCTTGAAAATAGTTTTGTAATAACGTTAAAATGCGTATGTTCATTGCTTGGCGAACGTAGTTATTGATCTGTTTACTTTTTGTATCCCACATTAACATCCGTCTGTCATCAGTTCATCATTGTTCCACAGCTCTTCGCTTACCTTCCCCATCACTTGGTCGTTCGAAAATGTCATACGCTACTGTTGCTCCGTACACGCTTTCTCCTGATGGCACGTACTACATTTTCGACCGTCCGATTGAAAAATCGGATTCGGATGACCGAGAATATAGGTTGATTAAATTGAAAAATGATTTGGAGGCATTGATTATACGTGATAATGAAACAGATAAAGCTAGTGCTGCTTTGGATGTACATGTTGGGTCCATGATTGATCCGGTGAGTGAGTTCGACGGGTCTTTATTTTTTGAGAATCTTGGTTGGCGCAAATCACTAACAGGTCGTATTGATATGTTTTCCTCTACCTGTGTTATTAGATTAATCTGCAAGGATTAGCCCATTTCTGTGAGCACTTGTTATTTATGGTAATAAATTGATCTTAAAACTAGCTGTTACCGTTTTACACTCTGGCAGCTATATTAACATATGTACTTACCCTACAGGGGACAGAAAAGGTAATATATGGAAAAGATCACAGTTGTATCCACACTCGCCAATTTTGCAACTGTATTATTAACTTCCATGTATTCAGTATCCCAAAGAGAACGAGTATCAAGAGGTAAGGACGCTGACGCGTTGAAATTTTGGATTAGACAGCAATAAATTTTTGCTATTTATTACTTAACTACCTTTTATTTTAGTACTTGTCTACACATTCAGGACGATCTAATGCATATACAAGCTTGGAGCATACAAATTATTACTTTGAAGTTGGAGAGAAACACTTTGAAGGCGCTCTGGATCGGTATAGTTTCAGTTCGCTTACAACGATAGAATGTAATATTGATTACTTCGATTTGACGGACTTATCGTATAAATTTTTTGATTTGATAAATAATAGATTTGCCCAATTTTTTATCAATCCATTATTTGATCCTAGCTGTACTGATCGTGAATTGAACGCAGTTGACTCAGGTTTGAGCGTCAAATTTTATTTACAGTTTCTATTCTTTGGCACAATAATTGTATACATTTCTTAAGCTATGTTATGTGTCTTTATTTCCATTATAATAATGCCTCTTGCCTCATTATCTTCTACTAACAGAGAACAAGAACAATCTTCAAAAAGATAGCAGACGCCTATTTCAATTGGAAAAATCCCTATGCAATCCAAATCATCCGTATAATAAATTTGGAACAGGCAATTTGAAAACGTTGCGCGATGAGCCGTTGAAAGAAGGCATTGATGTCAGAGAAGAATTGTTGAAATACCATGAGACATATTATTCAGCTAATATAATGAAGTTATGTGTACTTGGAAAAGGTATGGGTTACAAGTTGAACAGCGGCTAATACGAAATCAACCGGATAGGGAATACAGAGAAAGAATAATCTGTCATGGATTTTAACGAGACTACTTTCACGTCACCAGAACCATTAGATGTCATGACACGGTGGGTAGTCGAGAAATTCTCTGCCGTACGCAACAAAGCGCTTTCCATTCCCGTGGCCGAAGGGCACCCGTTAACGGAAAATGAACTGTTGGTGTGTATATCTTCTTGAAACTTTTTACGTTACTATTAGCGAAAGCATCTTTACAGAACGTTATTATACTAACCATTAAGTTATAATTGCAGAGGATTACCTTCGCGAAGCCAGTGATGGATATTAGGACCTTAAGCTTTGTTTTCCCATTTCCTGATCCAAATCCTTTCTTCAAAACCAAAGTATGTCTTTCGAGATTTATCATTAACTGATTTAGTAGTGACGAGTCAAACCTTTCTCTTAATTATGTATTTTAACACTTGATGCTTTCAGCCCGCTCACTATCTAAGTCATTTGATCGCACACAAAGGAAAAGGGTCTATCCTTTCATTACTTAAAAAGGCAGGCTTGGTAGACGATATAGATGTTGGCGCGTATGCCGTTGCGATCGGATCTGGGTTTTTTAGGATCGAGGTCGATTTGACCGAAAAAGGATTGAAGCAGTATGAGGAAGTCGTAAAAGTTATATTTCAATATATTGACATGTTGAAAAGAGAAGGTGTCAAAAAATGGATTTTTGACGAAGTAAGTCGTATATTTGTTAAACCATATTGAAACGTGTTGTGTTTTGTTATTTTGATGTGTTTCGTATTGCCTACTCAAATCAAGTTTTTCTTGAACACAGAACGCACAACTAGCTGCGATGCAATTCCGCTTTAAGGATAAATCATCAGTGAGCAGTTATACCTCACAAGTCTCAAATTTTATGCAGCGACCATACCCCAGGGAGTGGATTTTGAGTGCACCGTATTTGAGCTTTGAATACGATCCTGCACAAATCGAACATGCATTAGACTGTTTGCGAAAGGATCGGTTCACGCTCATGGTAGTTGGAAAGCAATTGGAAGGCCTGGATCAGAAAGAGAAATGGTACGGAACTGAGTATTCGGTTAAGAAAATTGGAGATGGGTTCCTGAAGGTTGGTTGGATTGAGGATGAGGCTCTCTTTTGAACGTTAAGAGGCGAGACTGTCACCGTTGATGAGTTGATTTTTTTCCCTGCTTTGCGTCGAATAGGATCTGGAGAATTTGCCTGCTAATAACGAGTTGCGGTTGCCAGAGCCTAATGAGTTCATACCTGCGAACTTTGATGTGAACAAGAAAACTAACATAACGGTAATTGAGCTTGATTTTTAAGCTTCATGCTTAACACTTATTTTTCATTCTTATTGAGCCTTATTTCATTGCTATTCAAATAGCCTATTAAACGCCCGACTCTTATTAAGAATACAAAACTAACCCGTGTATGGCACAAGAAAGACGATACGTTTTGGGTTCCCAAAGCGAACATACATTTTTTCTTGAAAACGTGTGTGGTAATTTCTTTGTCCATATCAGAGTCGTCTCTTCCCGACCGCTTTCATAATTAACATCGTCTTTTTCAGTCCATTAGCTTACGTAACGCCTCTCCATTGTGTAAAGACACGTCTTTACGTTGAATTAGTTGCTGATGCATTAACTGAATATTCTTATGCAGCGGGGGTTGCGGGATTGACGTACTCTGTCGGGAATCAAACTGAAGGAATTTCTCTAACGGTCCAAGGGTTTAACGATAAAATTCATGTTCTATTAGAAAGAATATTAACATCAATGAAAGACTTTAAAGTGGATTCTCAACGTTTTACATTGATTAAGGAGCAAGTTCAACGTGGTTATCATAACTCTTTACTAACAGAACCTTATAATAATGCGATCTATTATCTCACGTATTTGACAACAGAAATAATGTGGACTAGTGAAGAGGCTTTAGAGGTTTTAGATGCTGTCACTGCTGAAGATATCCAATCATTTTACCCTCAACTACTTAGCAGCCTCCATATTGAAGCCATTGCTCATGGGAACGTGTCGAAAGATCAGGCATTGCGAGTGACTAATTTGGTTGAAGACATTTTATTACCGAAACCATTAATTACATCACAGTTGATACGACATCGTTCACTTCTGTTGCCCGAAAATGAGCATTTGGTTTATCGGCGTCAAGTCTTCGATAAGAAAAATGTTAATTCAGCTGTTGACTACTATCTAGAAGTGGGACATGTTTTAGACAAGTGGACTAGAGTGAGATTAAGTTTATTAGCTCATATCGCGCGAGAACCGTGCTTTGATCAGCTGAGGACTAAAGAGCAATTAGGTGAGTATAAAGAACGAAGAATCTTGTGGCTGACAAATATTAAAATATTATGGTTGGAAACGTGGGTTGACTAGGAAAATTGTTATGTTGGATGATTCTTTTAACACGCTTGTTGTATTCAGGATATATAGTCTTTAGTGGACCCCGTGGACTAGCAGGCACAATAGGCCTGATGATTGGTGTTCAGAGTATAAAAGATACAGTATATCTGGAGAACAGAATAGAGGCATTCCTGTTGAAACTTTATGTAAGCAAATTTATATAGCACGCACTGGTTGGCTTTACAGTGTGTCAGACTAACGCTCGTTTATGCAGTCTTTGATTGAGGATATGTCGGAGGAAGAGTATCAGAAACGAATACAATCATTAATAACAACGAAACTTGAGAAGGATAAGAATTTACGCCAAGAGAGCTATCGATATTGGCAGCACATTCGTTCAGGATTTTATGAATTCGACCGAGGTAAAGTCTGTTAATAGAAATGTCTTCGTCATATGAGAACTCATAGCAAAGATTTACTATCAGCTTAATTCATTTTTATCACGATTACTATTTGCCAGTCGACCAAGACGTTGCAGAGCTCCCAACCGTTACCAAGTCATCTCTTCTTACATTTTTCAAGGAAGCCATACATCCGTCTTCCAAAACACGGAAGAAACTTTCTACTCATCTATACTCTCAGAACCCGCCACCGCCGCCACCGCCATCCAAGACGCAGGACATTAATAATCTATTTAATTGCCTTCAATCACACTCCTTAACATCTGATATTGGCTTGCAGGATCTGCATAACTATTCCGAACTCGAAAATTTTGGTTCACTTGATAATTCCGAGACGGAAAAGATACTCAGAAAGTTCCTTGCTGAACGGGTTAAAACAAATGAGGCCGAAATGGAGGAATTGGTAAAAAGTGTTAGCAAAGCCTTCTTTGCAGCGAATAACGGTACGGATAGTAAAAGTAAAAAGATCGTAAATGGAGTCGCTGGGGACGACAAAAATAGTAGTGAAAGGGATGATACAATATTGTCAGAGAGAAATACGATTGTTGATGATTTGATCGTGTTCAAGAGTAAGATGCTATTGGGCCCAGCTCCAACGCCAGTTGTGCCATTTGAAATTTTGAGAAGGGGTGAAGATGGAAGTAAATTGTGAGTAGAGATGGACAAGTCAATGAGAACGTCAGTGATATTATTAATTAAATAATATTTGCTCGATATAATATGTTTTATCGCATTTATTATTTGCATTGGTGAACTCGGTTGTTTTACGCAATATTTGCATTTACTACAATGGATACAAATCATTGCTGTTGATGGGGAAAAAAAGCAAACAAAGAACTAGCGACACGTTAATTGATAACTTACTTTTTTGCTCATTCCCAGATGTTAATTTAAACATAATGATAATGAAAAGGTAGAAGATTATCTTATTTAAGCATGATTGAAAACGATGTAAATTTGATCAACATGAGCATTACCGATAAGTTTCCTTTGTAACCCAATTGTAGAGTCTAACTTTCAGCATTCAAACTAAAACGTCATTCATAGCAAAAAAACGGGACAAAAAGCCCTGGTCAGTAAAATCTTCTCTGGCTTCTAATCACTTTTCGAATTCTTCAAGTTGTTCAGGTCATATTAAGCAATTAAGGACTTTCCATTTCGGTTTAATAGTATGTCTGAAATAATAATCCCAGCTTTCCATTTTAGCGGTCACCCCCCTGGCCCTGCTCCCTCGGTGTCGCCTGAAACAGTCAAAATAGCCACTTGTTTGCCTGCTTCATCGTATTGTTCCTATTATAATTCAATTAGAACGGAACGTTATTATTTTAATTGTCAATGATTGGACTTTGTTACGAAATAACAATTAGAACGAGCAATTGTAGCCAACGATAATTGCGCCATGTAGAAGACCGCATTGATGTGAAACTCGATCTTCCACCATAAGTTATTCTGTGCATTGTTTCATATTTTCATTGTGTAAAATACTACGCTACTGAGCTGCAGTCACACCTTTGCATATACCAAAATTACGAGTGGACATTCAAACAACGTTTGGAAAGTCGTATTATATATTTTGTAGGTTACTTGACATCGAAAAAAATGTACGAGAAACTCATCGCTGTTCAGAATAATCCCCTTCAAGAATGTTGGCAAATTTAGAAGCCGAAATTTTTGAATGCCCGGCAATTGACTGGCTCATTGAATCTTCCAAAACTCTGGACAATGGAGAGCTAGTCGATGAAAATATTCGTCTTAGATGGATTCCCTATTCCGAGCTTACTGATGTCGAAACAATCGAACATCCTTCCGAGGAAATAATCTATAGTGCTCAACACAAATTATCAGGGAAAAATGGTATTGCGGTAATGTTATTACTACTTGGAACGCACGAGGAATGCACAGAAGAGTTTATCCATGAATTCGCTAGGACACATTCACTTCCGACACACAAATACAAAGATGCTTCTACTACTAATTGGTTCAGAAGATATCCGAGATGGCTTGACAAACGCAATAAACTTATTAAGGGTTTCACTAAAAATGGTGACAATTATTATATGGTCGCTGAAAGACGCTTCCATTGTTGTTATACTCTGTACGGATTCTGCTCTGAATGTGGATTACTCAGATGCAGTCCTGTGTGGTGTATCTGCGGTCGTAAAGAATTGTCGGACAAGTGGACTAGTAACAATAAGAAACTTGACGAATTTATTAGAGAATCGCAAAGACAAACAAAATTAGCGAACGAAGCCTATCTAGAGTGGCTTCCGTCTGATTATATTCTCATTGGCTTTTTCCTAAAGGATCGGCTTCTAGGGGAATTACCAGCTGCTAAATTATTTATAGAACGCTTACCTCTTGAAATAACTGCCGAGACGGATGATTCATATTATCACAAGGTAAGGCCCTGATGAGTTTGTTTTAATAACTACAGCTACGTTAATTGATTACTGATACAACAATAACTCCTCCAGTTATGTGTTGACCATCCAGATATTCTTGACCCAAATCTTTGGATTACTATTGGGTTTACGTATGATGCAACTGAGCACAAATATTATCTCGTTAAGGCTCTTCACAAATATGCACCATATCACGACTTATGCTTAGGATGTGCAGAGTTATACGATTATTACACTCCCATCTTTTGCGTAAAGTGTAAAACACCAAAACCTCCTAATTGGACTACTGGCGACAAGGCTCTTGACACGTTTTTAATGAAGTCATGGAGTAAGGCAATGCGACCTGTTGATCCCTACATAATATTTATAGAGTACGCTCGGTTGAAAAACATAAAAAGGACCCCGTCACTAGACCAGCAATGCACGCATACAGCAGACTGGTTAGAACCTACAGAAACAAAAGACTGTTTGGTAAAAGTGAAACTCAAGAAGATAGTTGATGGATCAAAAGCTGAATCATTTGATTTCAATAAGGTAATCCTGCACTCATCGTTCTACTTAATGTCAATCAACGTAATAATCGTTTTGTCTTATCTAACCAGCTAGTTGAAGATTATCCAAAGATATTAACACCCGATAATATTTGGGTTATCGGTATCACTCAAGAGCCGTCGACACGAGACTATTATCTGGTATTCTATTGTGAAGTACGACCAATTTTGGATAGGATAATACGAATGGTAGAACATCAGCTTATGCGTATGAGCTTAGCGTTTATGCAATATGAAGATTTTGAAGAAATTGAAGAGCTGGGTTCTGGTGGTTACGGAACAGTCTATACTGCCAAATATAAAAAATATACAACAACTACTTTCACAGTCACTTCAAGTAAAGTTGTGCCAAATCGCGTTGTTTTGAAAGGATTCAAGAATCCTGGTCAGCTATCGGAACCACTTATTGACGAGGTAAGCATGATGTAATTATAGATACGAATCAGTTACTTCTCAAAAACTTCAAGTTAAAACCTCACCTTTTAATTATCGAAACGATATTCATTCGAATTATTACTCTTTTCTGCGAACAGTTCAGACGTCTTGCCACATGCTGTGTAGCTGATAACTTTCTTAGACTTTTTGGGGTTACGCAAATACCGAAGACGAATGAATACTTATTGGTCATGCAATATGCTGACAAGGGGGACCTCATGTCTTATTTGGGTAACAATATCAACAGAATGACATGGAAAATGAAACTAAATGTGTTGGCAGAGATTATGCGTGCACTCTATGAGGTCCATGGCGATGAATTTGTTCACTGCGATCTTCACGCCGGAAATATCATTTTTGCTAGCGATCCTGAGTATGAGGAGAAACATGGTGTAAGTCGCCCATTCATATGTGATCTTGGACTTGCTAGACTAATAGAGTCAAATGCCACGGCCATTCAAGGTGTTATGCCTTACATTGCACCGGAAGTCTTTCACACTCGGAAATTCACCCAGCAATCAGATATCTATTCTTTCGGTATTCTTGCATATTTGATTGCTAACGGGGAGCCACCCTTTAGAGACAGACAATTCGATGTATTTCTAGCGAGAGACATCTGCAACGGATTACGACCGACGATGCCTGACTCGGCACCGGAACAGTATAAGAAACTTGCCGAGATGTGCTGTGACGCCGATCCTAACAAACGCCCAGATTCGTTCAAGGTTTCTCTCTACATTAGTGAGCTTCGTAGGCAGATCGCCCCCGATGACAATGTGTGGAATAGCATTTATTCTGCCAAGAACGCGAAGGTATTATCGCGTTTTGAAAAGGAGAGTAAATACTCGAGTTTATTGTTGCCTACTGGAGATCTGCCTAGACCGACAAATAGTTGTGACACTTATTCATTTACAGGTACGAATGATGATATGTTTGTGTAACTAAACAGAGGGACATTGATCTTATTATTCTAATAATTGCTAGACTCTCTACAAGTCGATTTATCGATCTCAGGCGAAATTTGCGGCTTATGGTATATTACTTATTCGTATGCAATTACGCGTCTAAGACTATGCACGTCTAATTAACTATCCGTATTTATGCAGATTGGAAAAGTCCATCATGTTTCATTGGAAGACAAGGAAATGGAATGTTTCTGTGTTATAGATGGTCCTTGTACGTTTCGCACATACACTCGAGCAAAGTTTAAATTCAACTTTGTCAGTAATATTCTTGAAAATCTTGTGTTTTAATATTTAAATGTGAATAGATAACAATGAAAATGGCAAGACGTTTCTGCATTGTCGCATTCGCCCTTCGTTACTTATCGCGTGTATGGACTTTTTTATAACGTGTTGTTTAAAACATCGAAATAACATTGGCTTCTATTTAAAATTTTCTTGTAACCGAATTGTGAAGTCTAGCATTGTAGTCGCATCGTATTAGGCAATTAATATTAATATTAAGGAGTCTCCAATCGTCAAGTAGTGCTTGTTTTTCATGTTCTTCCTTCCCGTTTCTGTTATAATTCAATTATATGCGACAGGACATTGTTGCAGAGAAACAATTAGAAAGAATAAACGGAGCAAAGATAATCGAAGACAACAATGACATCAATTAGAACACGATCTTTCACTTTGTTATCTAGAATCTGTGAGACCAAGAACTGAAACAACAATATTAATATGAATACTTCATACCCGTTGTGTACGCTACTAATTACACATGTGCGCTGCAGTCACACCCTCTTCTAGGGGCATATACGGCACTTTAGCCAAATTGCGAGAGGACATTCAAGCAACATTTGGAAAGTCGTATTATATATTTTGTAGGTTACTTGACATCGAAAAAAATGTACGAGAAACCCATCGCTGTTCAGAATAATTCTCTTCAAGAATGTCTACAAATTCAGAGGTCGATGTCGTTGAATGCCCGGCAATTGACTGGATTATTGAATCATCCAACACTATGGATAATGGAGAGCTCATCTATGAAAGTCTTCGTCTTAGATGGATTCCTTATTCCGAATTTACTAATATCGAAACAATCGAACATGCTTCCGAGGAAATAATCTATAGTGCTCATGATCAGTCACTAACAATGCGTGCAATGTTGTTACTTCTTGGAACGCACGATGAATGCACAGAGGAGTTTATCCACGAATTCGCTAGAACACATTCACTTCCGACACGCAAATATAAAGATGCGTCTACCACCAATTGGTTCAGAAGATATACAAAATGGCTAGATAAGCGTAATGGACT